TATCGCCCAGTACTTTACAGCCAGGTTTCGGGTATTGGTATCGGGGCCAAAATATGGCATCTGCGCAACTTTACCAGTTATTGGAGACCTTGTGGAAAATGTTCAGATAACAGTTTTTTTCACCAAAGGGACCATGCATTAAGCTTATTAGTAGTTAACTACTGTTTATTGCATGAAATATATCCTTTTGCTGTTCTGCTCTTTGGAGAACAAGCCTATTACAAGACTAACAAGCAGATTACAAGTCAGGCTGTCTGCTCTGGTAACCGGACTGCAGTTGGTGATATTGCTGACCTTTAGCCATATAAATGTGGAGTATAACCAGCATTAACTTGATAATGATGATGATAATTCCCTCTAGGATTGACACTGTTTTCATATGATTAAAGTTTTCTTTTTTGCAAAAGGAAGAAAAGAATAATGTTTTATTTCTAGAATTATCAAAAAAATATAGTTTAGTTTGAGCCATAGTTTGATATTTTCATTGATTATTGGATTAAAATGTATTTAACTTACTGTTTTGTTCTGGTTGCACTCTCTTTATATTGCCCTAATCTAAAGTTGACTGTTAACCATTTTTAGCCTTCAAGCGTGCCTGTGTCTGTCGGTTCTATCATGGAAGTTGGGACATATTTCCTCTTGGTGACATTCCTAAGCCTGAAGGCTGTGTTTATGTATGTGTGAGTGTTGTGGGGAGTGCAGAGCAATGTGAAGCGCTTTGTATTATACACTGATGTGTGAGGTCAGCACTTTCCTTCCCCGCAATCAGTCAGTCATGCCCCCCAGCGCAGAGCAGCCCTGCACCCACCGTTCGCTACTAACAGGACGAGCCCTCAGCGGAAACCGGAGGTCACCTAATCCCTCAGTGACTCCCCCGACCCGTTGGCTCAGGGTTTTTCATTGTCGGTCAACGCTGCGAGGCCTCACTCAGCTGCTTTCCATTTTGTTGTCCTGCCTGATAAGTCGTTTTGTTTATTGGTGCATTTGGTCCTGTTCTGGTCACTTCCCCTGGACAGGAAGCCGACAGCCATCAGCATTTGAGCTTGGGGAAGGTGAGGTGAGATGTTGTTGCATTTTTCCGCCTGTTTTTCTGGAAATTATTAAAACAAGCTCAACTCTGGTCCCTGGAAGCTTTTTGTCAACCAGGGGGGCTTCCTCAGATCCTTCCAACCCAGATTTAATCTGAAGATTTCACTCCCTGTATCCCTCCTCCTGTCGCTAAATACCAGGGAACGTAGGGAGTAAGAGGTGAAAGGGGATCAGGGAATTTATTGTGTTTGTTAACAACCCCTGATGAAAGCCTGGGTGCAATTGTAAAACAAATGTAATGCCTTCACAGCTGCTCCATTGGTCAGCTAATCTTTTTCACTAATGTCCCCAACACCCCTCCCCCCTTTTGACCCACACGCTCACACTTCCATCAGCCCCTACACCTTTATGGCTCCTTGCTCCCCCTCTTCCCCCTTCTACCTCCATGGCCTCTGGCTCATGTTACTCGGTCCTCCTCCCCCATCAGAGACCCCCTCTGTTCCTGCAACCCAGGTACCCTCGGACTGCTAATTACTTGTTGTCACCCTGCATATAAACAGACTGACATGACATATTGCCATTTCAGGCAGGGTTTGTGCAGTTCAGAGATGAAAAGAGGGGAAGTGAAATAAATGAGTGCAAAGACAAAGCCAGGCTCTTTTGCCCTCAGAATTGACCGGAGAGCCGCTCTGATACAGATCTGACACTGTTTATTTCTTACTTGGCTTTATTTTTCCAACATCTCTTTAGCTCGCTGGCCGTTCCTCTGACTTTAACCTTTCTGCCTCTCCTCCTCGTCAGTGCGAGCATGTGTTTGTTTTACTTGGCCACTGACTCTGCGTAAAGTCATGCACAGTTTAACTCACCCCGAGGCAGACACGACCTTTCTGCCTTTTAAAAAGCTCAGTGCCGGACCTGACTGTCAGGGCCCCCCCCTTGTTCTACTTATTCGTCATGTCCTGGGGGAGATTTCTCTTGTCAATCCACCATGTTACCCATTCATACATCTATATGACCGGGCATTCATCACTGTCGCCCTCTCATCCATCTTAAGTTCTGCCGACACACCGGTAAGCCCTCAGAGGCTCTAGAGTCACACTGGCTCCCTGAATGTAATGGGCCCCTGCACTCATTCTCTATAAACAAACAGGGTCCCACTCAAGGTGCGCAGGCCCCTAACATGACAAACAGTTCTTTGTTTGTAACAAGTGGGAGATACAAAAATGGTTATTCTTACTTTTTTAAATGTCTTTTACCTCCAAAGTCGCCCAGAAACTTGTGTTTATGAGATCCATCATCTCAGGAAACCGGTATATGGGGTTCGTGCATGTGTTCGTGTTGGGTCAACACATTTTGGCTTCCTTTTTGGTTATTATTCTGTCTCAGACTCTTACCCTCCGTTTAGGTTACTCTGTTGCTTTTCGTACCTCATGGCTTCAAGCTTTGATTGGCTGTTTTAGGAAGGAAGGCAGCGTCAGCCGCATGCTTCCTGTTTCCTGTTGTGTCCAGCAACAATCCAAAGCCCCCTGTCCAGCGTCTCCATGGAACAAGGAAGCTCGCTTTCGCCGGACCTCTCCTTTTTGTTGAGGAATCCTCTTACTTTGCTGTGACTCATATTTGGAATATTTGAGATGCACAAACTCCCTCACCTTTGCAACCAAAAAGTTTGGCTGCAGCTGAAGCTATATGAGCTCCAGGCCTCCTGTTGGGTGGTGTGCTCTGGAATGCATCTTGATTATAGAGGCAACACACAGTGTAAGGCCATCTTCACCAAAGGCCTGACCACGATGCATTGCAGCTTGCAATGTAACACCAAAAAGAGGCAAGTCCTTCTCTATTCAGATGCCGAGTGGCATTTCAGTTATTCCCATCTGCAACGCCTGTGTCTGTATGTTTTTTCCTTTCAGCTTTTGAATGGCAAGGCATTCTTCTTGCCTGCTGCTCAGTGGTGAATAGCAATGTTAATGGGTTAGCTGGGAGGAGAGAAAGCAGGGGAGCAAGGAATTTGGGGATTACTAGAAGGAGAGGTGGGCAAATGAATCAGGGTTTGGGGCAGCAGCTGTTCCTCCTACTCAGACCAAGAGTTCGCCCCAGCATGTCTCCCCTCTTACTTCAATCTACAGAGGGATACAGTATCACTCTTTGCCTTTCTTAACCCTTCTGTTCCCCTGTCTTGCCTCTGTCCTGCCTTGCCTGTCTTCTGTCAAGTCTGTGTTAATGAGTAAACGTATTTATAAGTGCAACAGCTGCCCTAGACAAAAGGAGATGATGTCAAGCAAGGAGCCTGAACTCAATGGATTCCTTCTGGACCAAAAATCCATACCTTTCTCATGCCAAGCGATCTTTCTTGCCACTATTGTTGTCAGGCTCTTTAGATAACACACACCTCCTCACGTATGCTCTGCGTCAGCTCGGTGAACCGCAAGTTTATAAAAAGCCAACAAAGTTAAAGCAAGGCTCACGGTCAATCAACTAAAGCTCCTTGATATGACTCAAATGAGCAGCAGCCATGTGCTTTCCGTCTTCCATGTGGTCACTTGTGGCTTCGAAATGAGCTTCTCCAAAGCAAGCCATTCTGAAGGGCGAGCAAGACTGTATCTCAGTGCGAGTCTGATATTGTATTTGTCCTTGGCTCTACTTTTTCCAATTAGCCTCTTCTGGAATCTGACCTCGCAAACTGTTGGCTTTTCATTGACTGTTTTAAGGCTTTACCCTGTCTAGGTTTTGCTGCACCAGGAATCACTTACAGTGAAAACCTTTTTTCATCTTGCTAAACACAAACTGTTTTATAGTACCGGATCTCTCTTTTACCAGAGTTATCTTTAAGATCTGTTTCATATGATGCATGTTGGTTTATCATTTTCTGCCTTGTGGTGTACATACTCTCACTCATTTAAATTCTCAATATCTTTGAATATCCATCTCAGAGGAAACTAAAAATAAGAGAAGGAAATGCGTGTGGGTATGTGCATAGATGTGTGGAGGTGAAATGAAAAAGCAGAGGGACATGAACAGGTGACAGGCAGTAGACATAATCCCTCTCCTGATGCCAGAATGTGTTGCCTAGCGTGCTTTGCAAGCATGTCTGTGTATTTTGTGCATACAGACGGCTGTGGGTGCGTGTGTGCGATGCATACACTGGCGTGTGCGTTTGTGTGAACATCCAATGGTGTGAGCAGCAGCCGCTGGAATGCTCTCGCAGAGTTAAAGGCCAGCCGGCTCAATTTCCTTCTCCTTGATGGTTCGATCACAAAGCAAATTTCACACTGTATTATGTTCATATTTCAGAATTACATGCACAGCTGAGTGTGCTACCTGTACTGTCTGTCTTTATATAGAATTCATAGTGGGAAATTATATGTCATCTTATATGGGTGATACGTTGTCAAAGAATCCATGTGGGTCTCTGAGAGAAAAAATAAATACAATTGGCTACTTGGCACCCAAAGGGCTTCTTGGGTGCTTTGCTAAGTTGCTTGTGCACCTTTACTTATTTAGCAATGAAATCTGACAAAGGGTAGTGGAATGTCGATGTACTGGTTACGTTTCCTGAGACGGAGGCAGTAAGAAAGCCGCAACAGCATTAAGAAGAGTGTGTGAAAAACTGCTTGAGTGGCAGCATGGAAGGAACTACACGATTTTGTTTCAGGGCTTGGCTTAAATGAGCAGCATTTTAATTGCAATTGACAAAGTTTTAAAGAGTGAACTGAACACTATGCAGACTTCTGCCTCGGGTGGTTTCCTTCCTTCTCTCTATCACCTGCCTACATATGGTCTTTAGCTGTGACATAATAACTTGTCCCCTCGACCTCGGCGTGTTGCTCTCAGAGGTGAAGAGTTCAAAACATTTCAAAGAGGCTTGAATGATCTGGAGAGACTGGCTTTGCTCGGTGTCATTTAGTGTGCTGCCAGAAGTCCCCATTGTCCTCTTTGGCTGATCATCTGCTGTGAATGTCTCTTTGTCTTTGCAGAGTGTCAGCCAGGCTTCTTCAAAGCTGAGGGAACCAGTGGCAAGTGTGAGCCATGTCCTGCCAACACCCAGAGCCACAACTCTGGTGCTACATATTGTCCATGCAAGGATGGCTTCTTTCGGGCTGTTACGGATCCCATCACTGGACCTTGTTCAGGTGAGAATAACAGAAAAAAATGTCATCAAACACTAAAAAAGTAGAGATGCACAGAGAAAGCCTTTGTTGCCTATAATTTAAGGACAGACAGACAGAGACTCCCATAAAACACCATAGCCTTACACTACCAGGATGCATAAACAACAGTCTAGCATGTTTATTTGCTCCACTGACAACCAATGCTTTGCTGATACTAACAACCAATCCAAACATCAAACATGTAAACCATGTTTGCTGTCCTTTGTCTTATACTTGCTTTATTTTAATTTTTTTCTGATTTCTCATTGTCAGGCCTCCCTTCTGCCCCACGAGATCTAAAAGCCACCACCAGCAGCCTTTCCCCAGGAAAGCTCCTTCTCTCCTGGCAGCCCCCTGAGGATACCGGCGGTCGAACTGACATCAACTACAGCGTCGATTGCCAGCATTGCGGGTGCAACGAGGGCTCTTCCTGCCAACCTTGTGGAAAGAAAATTCGTTATGACCCACCCAACATGCTCCTGACTGATACCAAGGTGTCAGTGAGCGAGCTGGACCCCTTCTGCAACTACACCTTCACTGTGGAGGTGCACAGTGGGGTGTCCATGTTTGCCAAGCAGGCAAAGGCGAGCACATTTAGGCCACCGTCCTCAGCCAAACTGCATACATCTCTTCACTACACAGGTGAGTTCTGGTGATGAACTGTGATGCTATCTATCCTGCAGTAATATCTGAAGCTCTCTCTGAGGCAACTGTAAGAGGAGTGACTTTTTACAAGAAGGAATCTATATTTTCCTTTATGAACTTTCTTTTTAAATTCATCAGCATATATACTCAAAAGTCATTTTCTTATCCTCAGATCCACCCAAAATTACTTCGATGCGTCTGGTTGAACGAGATACCACCAGTTTGTCTCTGTCCTGGGATGTTTTCCCCCGTCCACGTGTCCAGTCCCAGCGTATCCGCTACCAGCTTTCTTACCACAAAAAGGTAAGCAAACCTTTTATTAGTCCTTGACCAAAGCTTTCAATGATTCTAGATTTAGTCCCTATTTGCATGATTAAAGCTTCTAGGGAATGCATTTTGAGGTTAGGTGTAATAAACATGTAATTTGAACATCTCTCAGCCCCTGAGCAGACGATTGCATGAAAACAGCCATTTTATACTGCAGTAACGCTGGGCTTGTTGTTTGACTTTTTCATTTCTCTAGGACAATAAACCCGATGTGCCTACGTTTGTTGTGCTGAACCTGGAGAAAAACTCTGTGCAGATTGACAATCTGTCCCCAGGCACGGCTTACCGGGTCAAGGTCCAGGCTCTGGGCTCTGATGGTAGCCAAGGAGTTTCCAGCTTGGAGGAACAGTTTGAGACGTTGTCTGAAGGTACAGGGAAAAACCTGCTAAAGGAAAAACTTACTGGCTCTTGTATGGGAATCCTCTAACTGTGAATTTTATTTTTTTCAGGACAACTTAACAAGACCGCTGTTATCATTGCTGGAGTGGTTGCAGGAGGAGTCATGGTTTTCATACTGACAGTCATCTATTGCCTGCACAGACGGTGAGTAAGCAGCCCACTCTGCAGCACCTACTCCTTATTCTGTCCCGATAATCTGTCACAACACGATATCCTTCATTGCCTTCCTCTTCTATTCTTCTGCTTTCCTTTGTGGGGCCTCCAAATGGCCCCTGCATTCACTCTCTCCTCACCTCTTTCTTTCCCTCTTCCTTTAGCACACTTTCTTTTTCTCTTTATCTGGAACTGTGTGCCAGCACTCACCGGGGAGGAATTTCTGCTGAATGTGTCTTGTCATTGCTCGATGGTGGCAAACTAGTCGGAGCTGGAGCCTTTGAAAGGAAATTAGACATGAGTGCCACATTGTTTTTGATAAGAGGCGCTTGCTTGGTTTTGTACGAGGCCGTGGGCGCTTTGTGAGGGTGACCCTGGCCTGTACTGTAGCAGATTGTAACCACCTCCTTTCCGCTTGTCAGCTTTCAGCCTTTGAATTGGTTCAGCAAATACAGCCTATTGACAGGCTTTATCGAGGGGATCGCTCTGAAAGGATACATTGGATCAGAGCTACTGAAAATGCACAAAAGCTAGACATTTTTTTTTAAAGTTTGTTGCAGTTGTTTGGGAGGAGCACCATTTTCAAGGCTCCAACACTCTACAAAGCGTTCCTGGGTTTAGAGCTTTCATGTACTGCACAGAACCTTAAAAACAATTATACTGATCTATTTAATAGTCATAGCCATTGAACTTTTCTACTCTTTGTTTCTTCAATCATGTCTCCTGGTTTGGTTGCCATGGAAAACCTATCCTTTTCATCTCTGACTTGACATGTTAAACTTTAACTGTTCAGAAAATAGATTATTTTGGACTATATGTTTGCAAAATGACTCAAACTCATTCAGTTTCGATGAATAACATCTGTTAAAATTACTTTTGAGCTCTTGATTTTTGCTTAGCGAGATGTAGACTCTAGGCATTCTAAAGCCTGCTTTATGCTCAGAAACCAGGTTGTCTGCGTGTGTGCAATAAACGCATATATGCCCCCGCCCCTCCCTCAGACACTCTGCTGCACCTCTCCAAAATTGTAGGTGACCGCAGACAGGAGTCCTCTGATTGGTTAAAAACTACATCCTCTCTACGCTATGCATATTTCCTGTTTGGTACCTTACCGGCTTGTTTTGTTTTTATGACCGCCATTGTGGAAAATAACAATTTTTCCAACTGGATCCTCGCTCTTTTTCACCCTCATGTCCCTCCGTTGTCGCACAAACTTGCCCCTTGCATTTTTCCACTTCCTCGCCAACTTGGCTGTATCTAGACACACAGCTAGTTTGTGATTGTCCCTCTTGCTTTGTGGCGTTGGAATAACATAGCGCAGACCATGCTTCAAGATTGGGCACAAATCAAAAATATCCTTTGAACTAAACTTGTAGTTTTAGTTGCTGTTTTATTTCTTATCCTTCTCGAAGGTCAACGTTTGCAACATCCTCATCTTACATGTCCCAGTAGCTAATAACACATTCCCACAGCATGATGCTGCCTCTGCCTTGTTTCATAAATGGTATGGTGCATTCTCGCTTATTTGCCATTTTTTTGTCATTTTTTTGGTATACATTGCTCTGTTAAGAGAATAACTTGGTTGGTGTGTACCATGGTCTTCATGATGCTGTTTATGTAATATTGTTATCTAACAAACCTATCATGCTTGTTAGATCATAAAGTTGAACTAAAATGATATGACGTTTGTGCTTGTAAAATAAAAGATCAAAAGGATCAAACACTTATTCAAGGTTGTCAATGTTAAAATGATAGAAAACCAGGCGAATTATTTAACGAGTAACATTTGTTTTTGTTTTTTTTCTCCCCAGGAAAAGAGATACACACACTAGACAAGGACCAGAGGACACCTACTTTTCAAGCCCTGGTAAAAAATACAAGCAAAAAAACAATAAAAAATAAAAAATCAAGGACTGTTTTTATTTTTTATTTTCTTACTTGGTCAAATTACAATCATCTATCTTTGGGTTGCAGAACAATTAAAACCCCTGAAGACGTATGTGGATCCACATACCTATGAGGACCCCAACGTCGCTGTACTCAAGTTTGCCACTGAAATCCATCCCAGCCACATAACCAAACAGAAAGTCATCGGAGCTGGTGAGTGACAGCTTTTCTAAGTTAATCTGCTGTGGTTCTTAGCTCTAAATGTTGAAAGGTCTTACCAAAGACCCCCTCCCCAAAATATTCAATGTTTATACAGCACATTTTCCAGCTTAAAAGACTATGGGCGCCTTTTACTTTACGAAGATTAGCATCTATCCGGCTTTTTTCTTACTCGACAAGCTGAACCTCTTTTCTTTGTTTTTTTTGTTTGGTAACTCCTGGTGGTGACATCTTTATGTCTTGCCTGATTTGACACGAACGTTACACATCAAAAATTGCTGCCAACACACCTTTTTTTTTGGAAGAACTTCACAACACCTTACTGGGGCTTGCACAAGGTTCTCACTGAGGATGCGTTTATTGAAGTGTGACCACCTTTAGCCTTTGAACCAAAAGTCCATTTGAACCCTTCCAGCTCCCACGACCAAATGCCCCATTTCCTTCTCGTGTGACAGCTGATTCCCATGCTCCCTCACAACAGGTCGTCAACTATTTACACAATCTTGCTTCTTTCTTCTTTCTCTGTATCTCTTTCAACACCGAGCCAAAGCACACCTCAATAGGAGCGCCTCGGGCCAAACAGCCGCAGAGATTTCCTCATTTTCTTTTTTTGTATCCTGCCAGGCCCTAAAGCTAGAAAACATTTTACACAAATATGCACACACATATTCTTTTGAGATCTGTTTTCTCAATCCAATTGATGATGTTTACCTACAGGCGAGTTTGGGGAAGTTTACAAAGGCATCCTGAAAGCGCCTGGGAAGAAAGAAGTGGCGGTGGCTGTAAAGACCCTAAAGCCTGGCTACACAGAGAAGCAGAGACAGGATTTTCTAAGCGAGGCCTCCATCATGGGACAGTTCTCCCACCAGAACATCATTCGTCTAGAGGGGGTGGTCACCAAATGTGAGCGCAACTTAAAGCTTTTTCTCCATGTTTTCTGCTCATTGATTGTAGGTCAGTTAAAGCTTATACTTTTTTCTGTTTTTGTCCAGTTAAACATGCAATGATTGTGACCGAATTTATGGAGAATGGAGCTCTGGATAGATACCTGAGAGTAAGACCAATTATTTTATTTTTTCAGTATATAAGATAGTTATGTACGGCTGCAAACTAAAATAAATCTGTATTTATTTTTTTGCTTTAGGACCATGATGGTGAGTTCTCATCTCACCAGCTGGTGGGGATGTTGCGTGGCATCGCAGCAGGCATGAAGTACCTTTCTGAAATGAGCTATGTTCACCGTGACCTTGCTGCGCGCAACATCCTGGTCAACACATCCCTGGAGTGTAAAGTTTCAGACTTTGGCCTGTCCCGAGTTCTTGAGGACGATCCTGAGGGGACCTACACCACCAGTGTGAGTAGATGCATGACTTTTGTAGTTTATACAGTACGTTTTTACCCATGATGCAGTTCACTACTTTACTGGCGTCTCATAGGACAGCTGACATGAAGTTAGATTATTGACAGTTTTTACATGCATTTTTAGTGTTTTAGCTTTTTTATTAGCTTCACTGACTTAATGTTTTTCTTAAACAGGGAGGTAAAATCCCCATCCGCTGGACAGCACCCGAGGCAATAGCCTACAGGAAGTTCACCTCTGCAAGTGATGTGTGGAGTTTCGGCATTGTCATGTGGGAGGTCATGGCATTTGGGGAAAGACCTTATTGGGATATGAGTAACCATGAGGTAAGTCCTAATTTTTCCTAATCATAGCTCCAAAGGGATCTTTTTTACACTGTTTTCCACCAAATGGGAAATAATTTTACATAAAAATAAAATAAAAAAAACCCTGATGATTTGTCTGCAGGTGATGAAGGCCATAAATGAGGCTTTCAGGCTTCCAGCACCAATGGACTGTCCATCGGCCGTCTACCAGCTGATGCTTCAGTGCTGGCTTCAGGATCGCTCCAAGAGGCCGCGCTTCGGAGACATCGTCAGTCTGCTGGACAAGCTCCTCCGCAGCCCAGACTCACTGAAGACCATAGCAGACTTTGATCCTCGGTAAGATTTGTTTTTGCAAGAGCCAAAAAGGCCTGTGAGAAACATTTTTGTCTAATGAAGTTTCAAGGAGTAGCTCTCCATTAGGGCTGAGTGATTTTCACCAAAAATGAAAATTTCCATTATTTTGACCAAAACCTCATTTGTGATTTTATGCTGATTTTCTTTCTCACTAACAACGAGCATAAAAGTCAGGTGTCAGGGTTTTATTGTTTTTCATGGGCTTAAATGTTCTCTTGTCCAGAGTTCATTGATGCAGGACTTTATTGTTGAGTAAAACCCACTTAAAGTGAATTTAAGTGGTTAACTCATTTTCAGTGAATTGGAACCACCTAAAAGGTTGGAGTGAAAAAGTAGTCATTCTCTCATGTTATGTAATGTGACCAAAAAAAAGTTTTAGTTTTTGATAAAATTTTTTGATAAACAATAAAAAGGGAATCTAAGGAACAACAACAATAAAAATGATATTCAAGCAGCTGAGGTTGAGTGAGACTGCAGGAAAGAAATGTTTGAATAAAGTACAGAGATCTCTTTAGTTTGTAATACTATGCATGAAAGCAAATTTTTCCTTTTGAAAGAGTGTGAAAGGACAAAAGGATGTTTCCTTAGATCTTAATCACCTCCTACCCTCACTCCTCCAACCGGTTTTTTATTACCAACTGGTTTCCTGCACAGTAATTACAGCCTTCACTCATCCTTCTCTTGTTGTGGGAAAGCTTTTAAATTATTATTTATTAGTTTGGATCTGCTCTCTTTTCCCCAGCGTATCCATTCGGCTGCCCAGCACCAGCGGGTCAGATGGCTCCCCCTTCAGGTCAGTGTCCGAGTGGCTAGAGTCCATCAAGATGAGCCAGTATAGCGAAAACTTCACGCGTGCCGGGGTAATCACCATGGACCAGGTCCTGCAGATGAAGAACGAGTGAGTGCCAGTTTTTTTTTTGTTAAAGCTAATCTAGATGTATGATCTTAAAAAAAGAACATGCACTTGATATATTTGTTTAACTTAGACAGTTAAGGGTTCCCAGCCAACTAAGTATCTTTTTGCCTATTTGTTCACCTTGTTTGTAGCTTGAGAAAAGATTCAAATGGAAAATTAAATGTAGTGAATGAGGGGTGGGAACATTTGTGGTGGGCTTGTGGTTTCTCTTGCTCTGATTCAGCTGTGCTCTCTTCATCCTCATCCTGCCCTCGGCGTCGACGCACATAGACCAGCACTTTTGCCGGAGCCCCTAAAACCACCAGCTTTGCTTGTTCAGGTCATAAGACTTTTGTGGCTTCCCAAACATTAAAGGAGAGTGGCAGAAAGTACTGCCAAGTAGAGAATGATCAACTTACAGCTAAAATAAATTGACTCGATCTAAAGACCTGAAAGACTGAAGAGGTTTGCTTCTGTGCCCCCCCCTGAGCGTTTTCAGACTGCAGTTCAAAGCAATTACACCTTCCATGATGTGTAGGAGTCCTCCAGGAGGCAATTTACCCAAACAGGCGCAACCGTTGGTGGAAAAAAAAAATGCTTCGGTGAAACACATAATTTAAGGTTCCTTTGGAGGAATAATGAAGGCCAGAAAGCTTTCTAACCACATGGCTAAAAAGAAGCTACTGTTTTCCGCCATTGTACGTGTTTAGGGGTGTAACCATGAGAACAAAACAGGATGAGAGTTAAAAGATCACAAAGCGTATTTTAAAGAGTTTGTCACCTGAGTAGAATTTTCCGGCACCAGTTTGGTCCAGATGTCACTAAAAGAGCCATTTTTAGAACTACAGGCACATATGAAGGCAATTGGCAGCACAGCACTTTCCAAAATTGAACAGTCTGCCTCGGGTTTTTGGAAACTAGACTGAGAAATCATGGGATTAACAAAAGAAAAGATGACATTCACCCTCTAGATAGACATCAGCGATCAGTATATGACTGATTAGGTAATGGTCTTATTTAGGGCTGAAACAATTATTCAGGCTAATCGATTATTGAAACTTATATACAACTAATTTAGTAATAGATTAATCCTTAAATCGAGTATAGAGAATCTATAACATGCTTTTAGCTGACAGAGTGACCCACTTAGAGCAGTAATTATATCAACATTGATATATAGATATAACAAATATAAACAAACATTTTGCATTTAAGGTTTCGATCTGTCAATATGCTCTATCCAGAATTCCTCAATTGAAAAAGTTTTAGTTTCACCTGGTTTAATTTTGTAAAAAATCTTCTTTAAGGAACCTTTGGTTAGCGGATAATTAATCGGAAACATAATCAACAGATAAATCGATTTGTAAACTCTATTTAGTCTATTTTGTTGCCTAAAAGCAACTTTTGGCTTAGCTTAGCTGTTAGCTCCTGAGATCTTGTGAAAAATCATTATATTTTTTATATATGTTATATATTTCAAACCAAGCTAATACTTGGGTCAAAAGTGTTGCTTAAAGGTCAGAATGTCTCCAGTAAAACACCTCAAATAGTTTCTTTCTCATTTTAAAATGAGTCTCAAAACTTGATGAAATAGATCAGAAGTTTTAAATTCAGTCCTTTAGGGCTGCATGTCCTTCATGTTTTAGATATTTCTCTGCTTCAGCACACCTGATTTCCCTTGATGGTTGATTGACAGGCTTTTGTTGAACTGCAACCATCTGAATCAGGTGTGTCGAACCAGCGAAACATGCGGGATGGTGGCCGTCGACAATACAGTGTTAAAAACTCACTTTTATATACAGAGCTCATTGGATGCTTACATTTATTTTACTGGACTAATGTGCAATGCTAGAAAGAGAGACTATGACAATAACTTATATATTCTTTCTGGTGAGATTTTTTGCGATATTGTGCCATACAATTTTTATAATAATTGCAACATATATGTTAAAACCTCCGGATCCTTGGGAAGATGGCGGGAAGATGGCATGGTGTGATTCTTGTTTCCATCGCAGGGCATCTGGTAGCACTCTCTGAAAACCACCAATCATTTACGATCCACCCTCTGCTTACCAGACAAAGTGATTCATGGTCAACAGGGAGAATCCTTGTCAAGCAATTAAAGCTGTAATTAAAGCCCCGGCTCTGGACTGGTGTTTATGCAAGGCTTTTGCAGGTTTTGCATGGGCTTGTGCAAAGTGAAACCCCCGGTAATGCCCTTTATTACGGAAGATGAGTTAAACTTTAGCAGAGAGCAAACTTGGAATGCACCCCACCTAGCCAGGCGGATTTAAAGTTAGAAATGAATGTGTTCGGCTCCAGGCAGGCATTTCATCACTTTAAATTAGTCAGTGATTACTCCAAGGTTTCGTAGGCAGGAAGGATACATGTGGAAAAGAGTTGGAGATCAGCCAAAGTTAAAATCTGTGTGCAGCTCCTCTTTAATGCTGTCCTGTCTCTCCTTCACAGGGATATTAAGAACATCGGGGTGAGATTGCCCGGCCATTTGAAAAGAATAGCTTACAGCATCTTGGGCTTAAAGGACCAGACCAGCACCCTGAGCGTGTTTGCTGTGTGATCCTCCAAATTAAAAGGGATGTCAAATTGGACACAGGAAGCCCTTTGAACTCCAAGCTGAGCGGGAGCGTCTCTGCAGGGATGGCGTTGGATCAGCCGAACCAAGAGAAAATGTGCCAACTCTATGGGCCAAATCAGTCCGAGAGACTTACTGTATGTTCTAGATTTCTTCATCTTTTCCACGGGGAAATGGAGCACATACCTAACAAAAGACTTTCGATATTTAGATAGCTATTTTTGTACTTTCTTACAGAGACAGCTACTTTCTAATTCAATGTCAATTTTTTCTGCTCCTGCTTCAGCTTTATATTTGCACCCTGAGTTTGTTGCAAACAAACTGGGAGAACTTTTATAAACAAGCAGCAGAGTCCAGTCATGGTTCAGGATGTGGTTGGTGTCTACGTCTCTGTATCTGTCACTGATTGGCTTTTTGCTCCATCTGTTATCAGGAAGCACAAAGAGGCTGTAATGAGCTTGAGCTGGTCCAGGTTTAGATAACAAAAAGCAGGATCCATGTAAATAACTTGACTCCTGCTAGTCCTCCGCAGAAATTAAGCTATCATCCTATGGAGATTTTATTTTCATAAAAAAACAGAATGATGAGGTACTTTTTCTACAAATTGACTTTAGCCTCTTTATTTTTCACCATTAACTGTTACAAAAAAAAATGATTGTGAACTTTTAATGTAGCACTTGGAGCAAGACTCATCTTCAATAAGGGCAATTACAACAAAAAAAAATGACCAAAGTATTTCTATCCTTTGAACTGTTAAACATTTTTCAACTTCTTGATGTGATATAATTTAAAAGACCAACACAGGCATTCATACATTTGAGGTAGAAGAAAAATATATATATTTTTTACAGCATGTTAAATTGAGAATATCTATATCTGATGCATCTCCACAGGATGATGCAGTCACAGCCATGTTTCACTAATGAATGTGTGGCTTGGATGATGTGCTGGATTAGTTTCTCAAATCAAAAATCTTTGCATGCTGGATGATGAGTTTATGTTTGCTTTCATTAGACCAAAGAGTGCCTTCTTTCAGATGTTTATTCAATACCCTATGTGGTTTGGGATTAGCAGCAAAGGAGACTTTTATGTCTATTGGCAACAGTGGATTTTTTCTCGCCACACTGAAAGCAGGATTTTATGTGCATCTCAACAGCTGTCATGTAAAAAAATTCTTCCATATGAGAGGTAAGTCTCTGCTGCTTTTTGTTTTATAACATAATGCTGCTTTAAACTTAACTATAAATTCATGTCAGACCAATTAATAATTTTATTATCCTTTTCATGCCATTTTCTGGATTCTCTTTGAGATGTAAAAGTAATGGTTTAAGGTTGATAACAATCTTTGTCCCTCCACTTTGTAGGTTTTCACTACTTTGTGTTAAACTATCTCCAAAAAAAAAAAAAAAACTAAACTAAAAATACATATAAGTTCATGTTTGTGATATGATAAAAATGTGGACCAAGTATGAGGGAATAATAGAAAGGTATTGGCTGTGTCTTAATGTTCACCCTAACCGCTAAATCCCTCAATCACTATATAGAGCGGAGACTATATATAGTGGACTTTTTAGTGAACTCAGTTAACTGACCGTTGGGACAGATGATCACCACGTTTCGCTCCACGTTGGTTATGTAACTCCTCCACTGTGCGGTGCCTGCACCATCGTTGTTATTAGTTTCCGCTGTCGGGTAGCGACAGCCTATGGCAACAGCGGGCAGCTGTGACAACAAATCCCATAATGCTTTGCAAGGAGAACTCCACCCGCAAAGCACTCTGGGATATATCTGCTGGTCTAATGACCACGGATGATCACTACTTTTCAAGTTGCATTGAGGGAAATTTCAATTCCGCTACTTTTTCATCCTCTAGACGTTTGGACACTCATTTAAAATGGCGCAACCACTATATAGTGCCTTATATAGGGCTAAGGGCGGACATTAGAACACAGCCATTGAATGTAAAAAGTCAATATTTGTAATTGAAATTATATTTAAGTTTAAATTCTGCAAATATTTTCAAAAGTAAATAAAAAAGAATGAAGTAAAATACTCACTAAACTAACTAAAAGAACAAAAGAATCCCTCACAACTAAGATATGTTTGCAGTTTTACTAGTTTACATTTTGTCAGCCTCTTTTTAAATGTTCAATCAATCAAAGTGGTTTATTGATTTGTTTAAATGAAATGCTTTAGGAATGACCTGCTTGACTCTTTCCAGACATTTTAAAAGCTTTTCAAAGTGCCTCTTTATAGAAGATAAACACGAGTCTGCCTCTCTCTCTTTAAATAAAGCGGCTCTTCTGTGTAGCGAATAGTTTGTAGTTAAAACCCCAGTGCTCTTAATCCATGACTGCAAATCCAGTGTGTTACTGATGTACATCTTCCTTTACTTGAATTTTTACTTTGTCAAATGTATGATTCTGTTGTAGCTCAGAAACCAATCTTCTAAAAAAGGGATTTATTTTTTTGTTGATATTTGGGTTAATTGGTTTGAGTTGCATTTTGTAAATTTTGTATGATATCCAGTATTAATCATATTCCTGTGCTTTTTTTGTGTTTTTGTTCTGAGTTCAAATCTTCTCAAAACTTTCTTCACATAAGAGCAAACATCTACTTCCTTTGCAAATTCTTCTCTTTTTGTCTTCTGTTTTATACTGTATTTAATAGTCTATTTATTTTTTAACTGTTATTTATTTATCCTGATAAACACTGAGCTGGGTTTGTAATTGGAGGTTGCTCATTAAGCCTTAATTAAAAGAGAAAAAAAAATCTGAAAAAAGAATAATTTCCTTCTTTTTATTACTGAACTGTTTCTTTTGCCTGAGATTGATTTTTTTTTTTTTTTTTTGGTAAATAAATAAAGTCTTAACTTGAATTTATCAAAGGCTGTTGTATAACTGCTTCACTACAGGGCAAACTATGGGGTTGTTTATTATTTTCACGGTGCCAGGATGTTTATACTTCCACCTGGATTTACGCATAACGTGGCTGAGTGATTTTAATTTAGAACCTGAAATAAACATCCACGTGCTTTGCTATATCCTGGATTTAAACAAATCCAGCATCCACACAACGGGATCCATACAGAAGACATATCCACCGGCTGTTGACATTTTTTCTAACCAGTTTAGATGGTCTGATGATCACAATGGCAACATTTTTAAATACTATCAGGCTTTTTTCCCACATGAACATATAGCCTAGTTTATAATGCAACCCGATTCACAGTCAGGGTTTCAAAAATTTTCCATTGAAGTAATAAAGGAATATTTAGATCAATGATTAGAGTGCCATGTTACTGTTTGGATTTTGCTTTTATTTTGAAAGGCCGACATAGTTTATTCTTAATTACTTCTATTGATTAATGAATAAATTACAATCTTGAAAATTAAAAACATTTCTATATAAAATTATTTATTATAATCCTCTTTTTCAGCTATATTCGCTGTACAGAGGCTTTAAAAGTTGATATGACAAAGGCATTCATGGTATTGAAAACCTGTATGCTGATAATACTTTTCCAAACTTTGAATACTTGTCCGGAAATTTTGGTCTGACAAATAATAATCGTTTTTGATAATTACAATTAAGAGATTTCACTTTAAATCTCCAGTTAAGCATCAATGCACTGAAAAAGAGTAAAATGTCATTTATTTATTCCCACATGATCGATATCTAAGTTGAGAAATTACTTCAAGCTCCCGTTGTCAGATAAAGTGTTGGATTTGACTCTCAAAAGAATCAGCACTCCTTTCATATAAGGCCGGCTCTGTTCCAGGAACTCTTCTGGAAACAATGAAGAGGATATTCTCAAATATGAATCCTCAATTAAAGAAAAAACTTTTACATAAACAACAGCGAGTATCCCCTTAATTAAATTGCTAAACAACAACAGAGCATCTTTAGTGAGATGATTCTCCAGATCCGATGCAAGACAGACAGCTACAGGAGATCTTTCCTGCCTATTCCTATAAAAACTGGCTAAAAAACCCTTATTACTTACTGCAATAATAATTTCCCTTTGGAATTAATATAATATTTTTTTATTTAATTGAATATTTCCCAGAAATGCTTTGATGTAGCTTTAAGTAGTTCATAGGCTTCACTTCTCAAAAGCTAAACTAGCAAGAAGATTGCTGAATGTAGACCCATCGTATGATCGATGTGAACAGACCTCTGTCGTGTCTCATAGGTTCTGGTCTTTACCAAAACTTGTTCCTTTTTCGCTGTCCTTTTTAAAAAAAAAAGTAATCTCTAATTGCTGTCTTTATGAAATCTTACCTCCTGTCTTGGTTGCTTTTTTTGGCCTGGTCTTGGCTCCAACAGGATCTGTTCCCTGTGCTCATTTATAGATTGCTTGTTCCTATTTACTAGCTAGATGCACAATTTCTTATTTAAGTATAAAATTCCTGCTCCTCCATACCACATTCACTGGATTACACATGTTGAACTGGAAAATATGTAGTTTCAATGGTTCATTCAACAAATTCCACAAAATCTGGGGCCCTCTAATAAGTTCTCGGAACAATCTACCTGCCCTTTTATTTTCTCTTTTGATGTTTTTTTTATGTTTATTTCATTCATGCCAATCTGATGCTTTGTAGGCCTTTGTTAGGATTAATTCTGTAAAGTTGCTGTCCAAAAAAAAAAGCAAACATAATTGTTCTGTATAAGATTTGGTAATTACAAATAAAGTGTTTTAAAAAAATCCTTATTTTGAAAGGGTAACTTGATTCCCTTTCCTTTAACAGCTTCACTCTTAATAGTATTGTTCAATCAACTTAACAAACCAACTCAAGCTTCATTTTGGAAGAAATCATTTCTTTTTTTAAAAGGTTTTTATTTTATAAATAGTGTAGCACCTATATTTATCCATGTTATTAAAGTTCAGGTCTTTGATTTTGAAAAGTACCCAAAATGAGTTTCCTCTAGTTTATTGGTTTAGACCACATGGAAATGTTAAGTCAGCCTAGATGTTATAATATTTTTTAAAAATCCATCTTAGAGTCTGAAATCCAGATCTACAGGAAGGAAGGTTTACTGTAAAGTGTCATTATTGTCAGGTCAAAACCTTTCACCCGTCAGCTCCACCCTGTCTGGTATTCTTTAGCAGTTTTCTCATGAAATGAGAGATAACTGTAGCCTCTTAAATGAAATAATTTACAGAATATGACCTAATGATGGGCTTGTTTGCAACCTGTCTGACTCATTCTCATTTTCCTCCCCATTACTTGGGTTTCTCTTCCTGTCAGTATGAGTTTAAACTGCAACCAGGTTCCCAGGAATCTTTAAAAAATGTTTGTTGAGAAGCCCCATCAAAAGGCAGGTGGATCTTTAGAACGGGTGACTAATTTAAGTGGAATAATTCATATAACTTCAGGTATGGGTGAGTCATGAAACCTAAAACCTGATAATCCACTGTAAGTAATACTCCTATTAATTTGAAAGCTTACATTTCATGCCAGAACACATCGCAGCTATTTATCCTTATGTAAGATTAAATTTGCTCTTGTTGTAACTAGACGAAGATTTTGTAAATAACCCAGAGGGAATAGTTCTGTTTGAGTATGTGTGAATAAAAGAGTTTCTAAAGAGGTCAGGGTTTTTGTGTTCCGTGTTGCCTTTCCTTTTGAGTGGAATAAGCTCCTTTCAGATAAATAAAAGATTCTTTCCTTCACAACTTCTTTTTTAACGATCCTAAAGTTCACTAATTACCCATTTTGACGGTAACGATTAAGTTAATCCTCCTAAATCATCCACTATGAACTATTTATAGTCGAATATTCTTTGCTCTCAGGTACAGTATACACAGAAGAACTACTAATACACGCTGGACAGTGTTGAAACTCAAAACTATCCCAAATGATATGCTTTAAGGCTGTTCTGTTGTCCCTATCGCTATCAGATTGTTAGTTTCGTTTTTTTTAGCACCTAATAATACTGTAACTTAATGCTGGATAAACATATTTTTACTGCTTGCAAATAATTACTAACATTTCATTTACTAAATCAGCTACAATAAAAAAGCATTTGGCATGTAGGATTGCTTAAAGAATAATCAAATGTATAAATGTAGTGCTACCCTTTCTGTTTTAGGGAAGAACACTTTGAATAATTGTAAATATGTGTTTTCTGTAAAAAAAAAAAATGTTGGTTTGCCATGTTATTTTTAGTGTTTTAACCCATTTACTACAAGAAACATGGAATTTTTAAAATGCATTTACATTCCCTGTCATTTATTTTATTCATTTCATTTCATTCATTTTCATTCTCGGATGATAATTCTAGATCTTAAAGATCTTAAACATCTCTTTAGTAGCAAACATTTCCCTAAAATATGCTTTTTATGGATCAAAACTATTTTTGCTATTTTTGCTATTTGCTATTGCTATTTTTAATGTCCCCTTATTGAAATATTAAACTGATAAATAATGAAGACAGTAATAAGAAATCTTAAAAACGTTTGGTTATCTATCATAACCCCAGTTCTTAGAATAATATGAGCGAGGTGTCTCGATATGGGATGCAGCCTCCTGCAGCCCTGATAGAAGCATTTATCTCAATCTGCCAATCCTGATTGGCCGGTGAAAGTGCCCGTCTTGCGCCACGCCCCGTAGCTCCGACTACTAGAGCGTGTGCGGATCACGGCACTCCAATTCAACAAGCAAACCTCTTCTCGCCGCCCTGCAAGAAGGGTCGTCTGGCGAGACACCTCGCTCATATTATTCTAAGAACTGGGGTTATGATAGATAACCAAACGTTCTTTTTCATAATATTCACTCGGTGTCTCGCTATGGGATATGGTAGCTCCCGTATTGCCAGACAGCTTATCGAACAAGAAACCGGCCGATGGGGAAGGTCCACAAGGTCAGTTATGACTCTAGGACCGCACTGGCCACGCACGGTCCAGACACGTCAAGCATGTAGAACCGGACAAAAGTCAGAGGCGAGGACCAACTCGCCGCTGAACAAATGTCCTGAACGGACACTCCCCGAAAAAAAGCCCAGGACGCAGCCATCCCGCGGGTAGAGTGTGCACGCAGACCCGCCGGGGGCTGCAGACCCCTGCTTCCATACGCCAAAGCTATAGCCTCCACCACCCAGTGGGCGAGGCGTTGCTTTGTGATCGGCTGTCCCTTACGGGGCTCCGCCCAGGAGACAAAGAGCTGATCACTCCTCCTGAAGCTCCACGTCCTGTCCATATAAGAGCGCACGGCTCGAACAGGGCACAACGTGTGCGCTCGCTGTTCACCGGGGGAGGCGGAGAACGCTGCTAGCTCGATCGGTGAACAAGAACCAACCACTTTAGGAACAAAGGCCGGGTTGGGCTTCAGAACCATACGCGTGTACTCCGGGTCGAACCGGGTACATGCGGGGTTCACAGAAAGCGCATGAATGTCGCTGACCCGTTTCGCAGAGGCCAGAGCCAGTAACGGCACTGTCTTGAGAGACAGATGTTTAAGACTGGACCCCAACAATGGCTCAAATGGGGGTCCCTTGAGCCCCTCCAGAACCACCGACAAATCCCACGGAGGCAGCAAAGGTCTGGAGACGGGGAGAAGCCTGTGGGCGCCCTTCATAAACCGACAAACCAAAGGGTGTTGGCTCGCCTTTTTGTCTCCAAATCCTATATGGCATACTGCTATAGCTGCCAGATAAACCTTAACCGTGGAAAAGGCTTTTCCTTTGTCAATCAGTTCCTGTAAAAACGACAGAATCGCTGGTACAGAACACTAAAAGGGAACGTAGTCCCGTTCAAGACACCACCG